CAAAATTTCTTGCGTCAAATGAAGAAATGGAAGAAAAGGATGCTTTATCTGTAATCATACATTTAAATGGAATACAAGATGAATCAATTCGCAAGCGTTCAATTTATATACATTCGAAAAATGTTGCATTATACTATACATCACATCAAAACATAGATCTTGCTTTCAAATTTGCAGATATAGCATACGAAAATGATCTTTCTACAGAATGTGAAAAACTATATGACGCATTATGCCTAGTATTTCAAGATAACCGACTAAAAGATCGACAATCAACTTTTTCAAAGCTATGGGGATCATTTGTTCAAGGTGATTTTGAAAATTGTCTCAAATATATTGATTATAATGAAATTTATTCACATTACATAGCCGGATGCTGTCATCTTTCATTAGGCCATATAAAAGAGTCCCTAAGCAACTTCCTTGAATCATCCAAAAATAACTACAGAATCTCAGAATCTCTTGTTGGCGCTGGAATCTGCGTTTACAAGCTGAAAAACGTAAAACTAGCTCTAAATTATTTTACACAAGCCATGAAATCCTCATCAGAGCTATCTTCCACTGCAATTTTCAATACAGCCGAAATTTGCGGTGTAATGGGCAGATACGAAGAGCAAACATCGCTTCTCCAGTTATATGCACGCTTAGAAATTGGTATCCGTAACCATGGCTCCATTTCTACCCTTTACAAACTTGCAAGATTATCTCTCGAAGAAGGGGATGCGCATACAGCAGTCGGGAGGTACCAATATATACTTGATGAATGTCGTGCATTAGGTATTGACGTTCCAAGTCCCACTTTCTTCGTTGAATTCGCTCATGCTTTAAATTTAATTTCGGATTACACTACAGCCCTTAATATTTTGCCACCAGATGATCACATTAAAAGTACTTTAGCCAGATCTGTTTGTGGTCATACTCTTTTCTTGGCAAAACGCTATGATGAGTGTTTGAAAATGATATCCGACATCCAAACATCGGATGCGATCACGAATCAAGCGATTCTTAAGTACATATCTGATGACGAAAGAGGATCAATTCAAATTCTGGAACAAGCGAGAAGAAGATTTCCATCTGAAAAATCAATAATGAGAACATTAGTTTTGATAAAATATGCCAAGCCAAATACAATCAAAAGTGGCTGTATGATGTGGCTAACTTATCTTGGTTATCAGCTGAATTATGAAGCTGAATTTTATAATGACGTAGTAACTAGATTGACGTTGGCAGGAAGCCCTGATCCTGTTACTATTTCTGCATTGAGTTTTATTGCTCAAGAAAAATCTAAATAAAATATTTTGTTTGTTTGAAGATATATAAAAAAAACTTTTTAAATTTAATAAAATAAAATGCAAGCAGTTAATTTGATTCAATAAAACTATTGAATGCATGTTGTGATTTCATTTCAAACTTTATCGATCAAAACCGGATTTTATTTGGTAAAATACGAATAAAGTATATGATGTCTTAATAAAGCATACATCCAAATGATTACAACTGCTTTCTACTTTAAAGCAAATATCAATGAAAAAGATAATGATGGAATAACTGCTCTTCATCATGCAGCATGGAATAATTATAAAGATACTGCCGAAGTTCTTATTTCTTATGGTGCAAATATCAACGAAAAAGATAATGATGGAAGAACTGTACTTCATAATGCAGTACTGGATAAACAAGAAGAAATAGTTGGACTTCTTATTTCACCATATATGCGAATAACTCAGGTTATATAGAAAAAATCAATATTCTTCTTTCAGAAGATTCAAATATCAATGAAAAAGATAATGATGGGAAAACACTTCATGATCATGCAGAAGAATATTCAAGTATAGAATATATCCAATTCCTTCTTTCACATTGTGCAAATTCTAATAATGGATATTAACTTTTTAATCATTTGTATATATATGAATTTTCTTCAAGATATTTATATCACATAAATCATCAATATTTTATAGCTTTATTTCTCTCCAAATCAACTATTAGATTGAACTTTCAGGCATGTTACCTTATTATCTCGAAATTTGAGCCTTACAAGCTCAAGTTTCGGTGTAAATTTTCCAAGACCATTTCCCAAACCAATATGCTTAAATTCAGGAAAGAAAAAAAAAGAGAAAAAAATGAATGCAAAAAAGTGTCTGTTTAAAATAAAAATGTTATATGGAAGATATAATTACAATGAAGAGGAAGCGATGCGAAATGCTATACAAGAATCAATTGAAAATCAGCAAATGCAAGAAATCCTCCCTCCAGGATATGGTCAACCTGTTGAAACCCCTGTAGATGCAAAAGTTAATCGTTTACTATATGCTATTGACAGAACTAAAGCCAAAATAGATCAATTAATGAAATATGATATTACAAAGACAATGAAAGCGACATCATCACCCAAAAAGAAAACTCCACCTCCACCTCTTAGCTCTTCAGCTCAAATAAGAAATGAACAAGATAGAAAATACCGCCTTGCAGAGTTAGAAGCACTTAGAAGGCAAGAAGAAGAGGAGGAGGAAGCAAATGAGCAGTATGAAGATGATAATTTACATTCTCCAACTGCTCACACTGAAGGAGAAGAAAACCAAGAGCAAGGTGAACCTTCTGTCATTGAAGAACCTGTTTCACAGAATTCCATATCATCTCTATAGAGAACTTGAAAGTTCATGCTATGACTCTGATGCTCCATATTTTGATGATAAACAAACTCATTTAAGAATTACAAATCCGGCTCATGATGTGAACCAATTAGGTGACACATATATTAAACGCAAAGTTAAAGCAACTCTAGTTTCAAATAAAGCTTTCACATGTGATGCCGCTTTTAAATGCATGCGTTTATTCGTTGGTTACAAATCATCAAATCAAAGCTTTAAACAATTAGAAGTAGAAACCGAAAGAGGTGATGCCGGTTATCTTCAGATGGATTGCGCCCGTGAATCTTTCGCATTTGCAACATATAAACCAAAATCAGAAAGGAAAGTTAAAAAGTTTGTTCATTCGTTATATAATAATGTTCAAAAATATGATAACTCAGTATGTGGTAAATATATTGACCCTTCAGAAGTTTTCAAGAAAGCAAATGAAGAAGTTGATATCACTTTTGATATGATTATTCCGGTAAATGATTTGTTAGCATTTCAGGCGTTCGATGATTATCCTAAATCATTTGGTGAAATCATTCTTAAATATTATGTTTTCAGGGATACTTTAGTATTTTGTCAGGTTGACCCGTTAAGAGTTGCTGATTTACAAAATTATGTTTATGAAAAGATAACTGATGAAAATTATGAAAAGATTATGAATCATGTTTATAAATATGATCGCAAATTCCAACAAATCGGACTTCCTGCCAAATTAATTACAAGCTTAGCCGCTACATCTGCTGACGCAACAGTTGATGACGTTATTATTTCATGCACAAAGATGGAAGTTTTAGAGGATAAATGCATTACACCAGGATACGGTTTAATTGAAGAATCAGTTAAAGCAATACCACGTTTATTCAGTAAGGAAGATCCATTCATGATTCCAGCTCAACATATTGACGTTCGTTCACTAAATGGAGGTTGCATCACTCCTGAAGGTATTAGCTCAGATTTCTCATACGCTCTTCATAATGTTACAGATGTTGTGTTAGCATTTCCGAAGAATGCAATGCAAAGAACAGTTTTAGAAAATCCAATGCTTCGAGGTCTTCAGGTCACTATAGATTCCAGAAACTTCCCGATCAAGCGATGACCACAGTGGGTGATATATTCTTTACACGTATGCTTCAAGCTTCTGATTTAGATGGAGTGAATGAATGCACAGAAGAATACGAGGACTCATTAACTAGACCACTGAATGATGATAATGGCACGCCATTAGCTAGAACATGGAAAGACCAAACTTCATTCTTATGCACTATTCCAGTTCAACGTGATGGAGCGGGTATATTCTTTGATGGATTAGAAACTTTCAACTCACAAGTTACAGTACAAGTGAAAGCTTATCCAATCATTCAGGGTGTAAATGACACTTACTGTTCAAAGGTGACAAATCCTCCTCAGGTTTGGTTTACTAGGACTACATATTGGACATGGACACCGGACGAAGGTTTGAAATATCATCCAACAGGTACACCACCACAGTATAGAAGTTCATATGATGAAATATTGATGAATAGAAATGTTTAAAATTATAAATTTATTTTTGATTAAATGGATTTAAATTCTGAAGAATTAGCGGGAGTATATAATACATACGTAGATGATATGATTAATGAAGCATTGAGTGATAATAGAAATGCTCTATCTAAGGAAAAATTAATGAAAATTCCATATTCTGAATGTTACTTAAATTCAATCACTGCAGCAATTGGTAAACAAAATAAAGGTAAAACATTAACGATATTAAAACAAATTATCATTATTGCTAACACTTCCCCCATTCACATGTGTTAATTTATATCAACCGTTCAGGTTCACCTTCAGATGATACATTTGAATCTTTAAAGCATTTAATCAAAATTCCAATTATTTATTTATCACAAGAAGAAGCAGAAGATTATTTAAAAAACTTTTTAATGTATAAAGAATTATATAATACAATCAAGAAGCAAGGATTAGAGGATAAAATTATTGATAAACAACGGGATGAATTATTTGAAACACTTTCTATTTCAAATTTTGATAAAGAATTTTTGCATTCACTCATTTTTCTAGATGATGCGGTGAAATCAAAACTAATCACAAATGAGAAATCATATTTTAATCAGTTATTAACTCAATGTCGACACATTCAGTGTTCATTCTTCATGGCTGTTCAATACTTCAAAGCATTAAGCACAAACATTAAATCAAATCTATCAACACTTTTCATTTTCAGTGGTTTTAGTCGTCAACAGTTGAACGTTATGCTTTATCAAGTGAATTTACCAATGAGCATTAATGAACTTTACACACAATATCAGCAATTAGGTGAACATGGAAAAATAATAGTTGATTTAAATAAAGGATGTGTTAAATTTGATTAACTTTTTATAATTAATTTTTATTTTTTATTTATAATTAAACATGACAGAAATAGCAAATCTTCTACAGGTTCCATTAAAACAAGGGACAAACAAAAAGGGGGGTGCGTATAATAGAACTATGAAAGTTCCAGACGGAATGAAAGAATTAGTCCACATTGTTGCCGGTCTTCAAAAAGATGTAAAACAAATGAGAAATGTTTTAACATTACCAGAAGCTCAAGCATATGCCAAACGTCATGGACCAAATTGGGAAGCACACGAAGCAGACATTACGGGTCCAAATGGAAAACCTGATGGTATAAATGAAGTTTTCGTTACTGATGGTCGAGGTAATATTAAAGTCATAAATGGTTATAAATTAACTGTATCTGATTATCCTAAACGTAAAGCATATAATGAATGTTATCCTATGCAATTTGATGAAAATGGAAAAGCTGTTAAACAATACATTGGAGAAGGTGAACATGGTCCAATTAATTCATACCGTCATAATCCATATTCATATTTCAATGAAGAATTAAACGCTATTGAAGAGGGACCGGATGGATTACCACGATATGTTAATCAGTTTGATGGTCAATATGCAAATTTGAGACCTGAAATTCCAGCTAAGAAATTCTTTAAAGTTGCTTTATTCGATCCAGTGTTCAATGAACAGAAAGAAGCAATGAAAGCAGAATTTAAACCAATTCAAGTGGCAAGAATTTCTTCATCTTCACTTGCAGAAGCGTTCAAGGAATTGATAAAGAAACCACTTTATTCTCAACAAGGTTATAACTTTGATTTAATTAAAGAAAGTGATAGACGTAAATTAGAAAAATCAGATGGTTTTAAGAATGCATGTAATGAAATGATTAAAGATATTGTAAATGATAAAATAAGACTGGAAGAAACTCAAAGCAATATCAATAACATAATTGGTGCAGTTACAAAGAAAGTATAAGCAAACAATGATGAACCTTGGGATATTACCGTAACAACTAAATAAAACTTTAAATATATTTTTCTTTTTTATTCGATTATAAATGAGAAGACGTTTCACAAGTCAAAAGAACACTAACGCAAAAGCAGAGATTACGGTTGGTTATAACGTAAATGATGATAAATCACGAATTATTCAAAATGTTAAAGTTAATGTTAGTCCTGAATTAACAAGGTCAGCAACTCAACCAAATTTATTAACTCGTGACTTACCGAAGAATGAGGAGAATGAAGAAAACCATGAGAATGGAGACCCAATCATTTTATCTGAACCCGGTAAAGAACCCGTTGAAATCCCCACTTATCCAACATACCCCCCACCTCTTTCATCAAACATCGAGAACCCAGGAATATACGATTCCAGTCGCAATGCGCCATATAAAATAGACATTAATTCTGAATTAATGAAAATTTACCGTGATATAATAACTGATAATTATGATTCAATAATAAATTTAATTGATCAATCCGGTTTAATTATTTTACCTTATGAATCATTAATTCACATTATCGCCATTCTTTGTGATGTTCAAGATTCAGACGTTAAGATTCAATTTTTCATAGATGATGAGGTTTCATGCTGCGGAACAGTTGCAAAATAAATCCTATAAAGGATATTAGCACAATTAAGATATCAAAGAACGGAACAACAACTGAACTTCATTTAACATATAATGATATTTATAATAAAATAGTTGATGAATATAAAATATCACTTGAAAAATTCTTTGTTAAGGCATTTAATATTCAAGCATTAACATTATTGAATAATAATCCTTTGAATCATAATCAATAATAATTGACCTTTCACCAGTTTCTATCGTTTGTTTTATTTCTTTTTGTTCCCCACTATCTGGATCGGTCATTGTAATTGTTTTTGTTATAGTATCAGCTTTATCTTTAACTTCAATCTTTTTTCCATCAGGATATTTAAACCAAAATTCCAAAAATTCGATATTGTCAATCTGTTCATATTTTAATCTATCAATTGCATTTTTAATACCATCTGAAAATCTTATGAAATGGTCATTATATGGGTTTGATTGAACTAAATTTGAATGAAGTGAAATATAACCCGATGATGAATATGACATTGACTCATATTTTCTGAAAACACTGAAATTTATAACATGAATGAATTTCTTATTCGTTGAATTTATGAATTCTTGAGGTAATCTTATTCTAGTTTTATTTATCACTGGAAAATAACGCTTTACCATATTTTTAATCGTAATAAAAATGTCAATTATCAATATTATTTCGAATAATAGTTGTGAATTAAATTTAACAGTTAGGAATTTATAATGTTACTCTCGTTTCTGTGAGTGGTAAATTTAATCCCATTCTTTTAGACCCTTCAGATTATATATCATTTATTAAAGATGACCTTGAAAAAACGTATGATATGTATATAAATAATGTGATACGAAATGGGATATTAACAATTTTAAGTTATTTAAATGAATCATTTATCGTTGGTATGAAGAAAATTTTAAATCAAAACCTGATAAACTTTTTGAACTTGATGAAATAAATAACCTTATTAAATTCCGCTGAAAATTAAATTTTGTACTCCTCATCTTCGTTCATTGTTGGGGATATTAAATTTTGAAAAAGATGTTGGGGATGTTTTGTATTCTGACACTGGTTCCAATTTCATTTTAATCAAATGTGATAAAGTTAATACCCCAATGAGATTTTCACATCAAACATTAGACCCTAACTCTTACCCATCAATACAAAACATTTTATCCATCAACTTAAACACATTTTCTTTATCATATCCGTTTCAATTATCCGGGAATTCATTTATTCTTCATTCAAAAGATTTATCAAATATTAAATTTAGAATAACTGACCTATTTGATTGTGATTTAGAATTTATGAATGAAATATTATGGCAATTTCAAATAGAAAAAATAGCTGATGAGATAACGGATTAAATATTTATTTTTAAATCATAATAAATGATTAAACAACAGCAACCACAGCAACTTAAGGCACAGACCATTACTTACGCCACATATGCATATAATTCAAAGACGGCAGAACAAACACAAAGGTTGAAATATGGAGATTTGGAGATAGTATTGAAAAATGACCATTTTGAATTCGTTTGCAAGGGTGGTGCAGTGATATCAAATATAAAAGAAATTTTATTTATGAATTCAAAAATTAAAGGATAACGGATGATATAACATCAATTCCACCAGAAGAACAAAGATATTACGCATTAAATGCATTTCCTAAAGTTTTGAAGATTGGAAGATTTAATTTAAATGAGGAATTCATAAAAGGTTTCCTAAATGACATAATGAAGAAAGCAGATAAGGAATATGTGGATAGTGAGTTAATGAAGAAGGCAAATTTGGTTTATGTTGATGAAAAAGATAATGAAATTAAAGAAAAGGTTGAATGGTATCATGAATGGACATTTGAGACTTTTAAAGTTAAAGCTGATACAGAATGGGTTTCTGGATGTTTAGACCTTAAAGCTGATAAAACTTATGTTAACGATGAGTTAGAGAAGAAAGCAAATAAGACTCATACACATACAAGTTTTACAACTGTTGCTATAGAAAGTATTGAAGGAACGGTTGAAGAAACTGGTGGGGATGCATTATATTGTAAACCTCCTAACTTTCCACAAGGTTTAACATCGGATGACGACATAACGACGATGAGAAACATTAGATGTAAAGATGTTTATGTCATGAAGGATGAACATAATATTAAATTCACTGCTCAAGATTTATATGACAAGAAAGCAGACAAAACAGAGCTTCAAACATTAAAGACAGAAATGCTTCAAACATTATATCCTATAGGCTCTATTTATACGTCAATGAACTCAACAAATCCAGAAACAGTTCTGGGTTTTGGAACTTGGACTCAAATAGTCGACAGGTTTTTGTATTGTGCAAACTCTTCAAAGGAAATGGGTGGAAGTAAAACGATTACAGGTGAAAATTTACCTGCACACAGTCACTACATAGATTTAAGCACATCTCAAGCGGGTTGGCATAAGCATAAATTTTGGGATTGGTCGGCAATGAAAAAAGGTAAAGGATATGATGTTAAAGACGACGTTCAGTTTGCTATAAATTGTTTCTGGGGTAACACTCAGGGAGATGGAAACCATACACATCGCGTTTCAGGATATACGCAAACAACGGGACAAAGTAAAGATTACATGCCACCATTTATGACTGTATTCACATGGTATAGAGTTCAATGAACGCTCAATGTTTGTGAAACAAACTTTAGAACGGACTGAAAGTCCTGAGCTCCAAAAGAGCAAACGGCATAATTTAAATTTTTATTTTTATCATAAATGAATACCCCACAAGCTCAAAATTTACCACGAATCATAACAAGGGAGGAAATGATAAAAATGATGCAAGAACATGTTAAAAATAACAAACCACTAAAACTGAGAAAATGTGGTTATGCAGTAATGATGGAAAGAGAGATGTTGTCGAAGAGGAATAAAAATTAAATTTGGATTGAGTTTAAAAATTCATCTTTATTAAATTCATCTCTTCCAATCAATTTATTTATTCTATTAAATTCTTTTATTTTTGCTTCACTCAGTTTAAGGATTGAACGGTAAGTTTCTAATTTTTCGATTATTTCTTTCCTCTCTTTATCGTTTTCAACCCCACCGCATTGCGACTTCTTTTTGTAATAGCATATTTTTGATTTAATTCTGTTTAGTTTCTTTTTATATTCATTGTCTGGACTCTTGGATGCTTCGTTGTCACTCATTTCTTACGAAATAAAAAAAATTAAATATTATTTAAATATAATGGAGTAATAAAATAAATCGGAATTTCTATTAATTTATTGTTAACCTCAACTAATGCATTGCCGTTAATATATCTAACAAATTCAGCTATTGTGTCAAATCTTCGTCTTCTTTTGTCATTGATTTATCAGTTTTTCCATAATCGAGATGAATTAAAACTTTATTTCCTTGTTTAAAATTCATGAGCCCCGAATTAATTTGTTCACGTTTAACATCATTCAACCTTTCCATTTGCTTTCTAATATATTCCCATTCTTTTGAAATATCATTTTTCATTTCCACCGGTTTCATGTTTATTGTTCTATGCCATGTATTATTGTAATAATATACTAACTGCTGTATGATGGAGTCATGATTTCCATCCCAGTATATCTGACCGTTAACCCCTAACGCATCTCTAAGAGTTCTCATTACCGCATCAACTATTTTATTATGAAACGTATATGGAGAGGATGAAAAGTAAAAATTAATTTGTGGGAAATAATGAGTCATAGCTGCCTGAAATCCTTTATCACCATCACCCCTGATATTATCTACTCTTTCATGATCTAGTAAGTATTGAATAGCTCTTCTTGTTTCCTGTTCTGTTTTCCCTTTCACTAGAATGCAATATAAATATCTGGTGTTAATGTTAATGGCAAATAAATAAGTAACGTTTCCTTTTGAATATTCTAAATGATCGATTTCATATGAATATGGATATGGTGCAAATGAAGGGCGACCAAATTTTTCCTTTAACGGTTGAATTTTTGGGTCAATTGGTTTATTTAATATCTTGAAATCCTTTTTAAAATCTTTTTGTTTCTTTAATGTTTGAAATGGATATAATAAAGTGAATGATGAAGGATTAACTGAAGGAGGAGGCGGTTTTGGTGTTGCAGGTACTGTCGTTAGAGGTTTTGGTGTTGCAAGTGGTTTAATTTTATCTGCTTTGATTTTGGATGATGAAGTTTTGGAATTCATTCCTTCCTTCATTAATTCTGGATGTATTCTATTCATTTGTTTTAAATATGCTGTATATAAAGGTTTAATATACTTTCCCGCTTCGAGTTTATGTTGAAGGATGAATTCCAAAAGTTGATCTTCATTTAAAAGTCGGGCTGAATATGGTTTAACTAATGAATCATAAATTAAAGCTTGTGCTTCATTTATGGTCTGAAGGACCTGGGCGTTTTGCACCTTTTGTTTTTGCTCCTTTTGCTTTTGCGGCTCAGGATTATATAATTTATATAATTCATCAATATCTTCTTCTGTTAATACTTTATTTTTAAAATCTTTCAATTGTTTCAGTTGTGATTTAGTTTTTCCCTTTGAATATTCATTATTTTTAATTTTGTCTTTAATTTCAGAAATTATTTTATTATGATATTTCAAAATTTCATTTTCATAATATGGATAATAATATTCCATATCATCACCCGTTATATTATTATTATATTTTTGGAGATATGATTTTAATTCATAATAACTAAGAAATTTTGATTAAGTACTAAATCATCAATTAAATTTTCTAAATCTGAGTTATCCATTTATATAAAAATAAAATAAATGTTTTAAGGGTGCCCACCTCTTTGAATCATAGTATCAAAAACATCATTAACGGTTCCTTTTGTCTCTTCTGTGGCATTTTATTAAATAAATGGCATACAACATCCATTTTCACAACACACAGCCTTAGTGTGTGCTCCTGTTAATGCAGTCTTACCAATTGTTAAGCGAGTCATTGACCCATTTTTAAGTTGTAAATTAATATTCTGACCATCAAATATCACTTTATCATTTATTATATCCAAATAATTTTTAGGTGTTAATTGTTTATTTTGTCGTAAACTAACTCCTTTCATTTTTTGTGCAATCTTTTTAAAATCACTTCCATCAATTGAACCGTTGAATGATGTATAACACTTGGGGCATAAAGCAACCATGTTATCACCTTGTTTCTCAATTGCTAAACCCAATAACTTCTTCTCATGTGCTTTTTCTTCAGCTTTATTCTTTAATTTAGGTTTAAATTTCTCATCAAAACAAAAGAAATCAAAAGGTGCGAATTTGTAAATGTTTTTATCATAAAAATTGTTTATCAGTAACAATTGCTTGAAATGCTTGAGTGTTAGGAAGATTTGGGTCGCCAGCGATTGCCCAATAAGATGAATCAGTATCACCTTCAATGAAATGAAAACGATTAACATTCATGCATTTATACATAAAATCATAAATGAAAACCAAATACCAGTATTTTGCGTTATCTAAAGTGAAGAATGCCTCTTGTAAACATGTATCACATCTATAAAATCTATCTTTAAGCATCACTTGATACGTATCTTCACCTATTTCTCTTATGTTTTTAAACTTATTTGACATACATGCAACGCGTGCCTTCTGTGCATTCATTATTTTAGTCTTTGCGTAATTTTGTATTCATTGCATCGTAACCATATGATCCATTAAGTGAAATCTTGCAAAATAAACTTTTTCCTTTATTTCCTTCTAATTCAGCCTTTTGTCTTTCGTTCATAAATTCGTTCGCAAATTCATTAAAGCAAGTGTTTTTCGTAAATGTTAAAATTGATTGAATATCATCAATGATAAAATGAAATCTGTCTATTAGATACCAAAGATAATAAGAAGAAAATGGTTGATATTGGTTGTGTGTTGATGCTAACTGAGTTAATTTTCTCTGTTTCTGGTCAACTGGTAGATTGTTTGATTTCATGTAATTATACATAAAACTGCCAATTGTTTTTTCATCTGTGATAATATCTAAGTTTCTTATTATCGGTAAAAAGTTTATGTAATCATTAATGTATTTTTCATCAATGTGACCCTTTACTTCAGCCACGAATAAAGTATTTTTCTTTCTAATATTCCCAGTGCTTTTGCTTTCTTTGTTGCTGTATCACAAATGATAACACCATTCAATCTTCCCGGCATATACATTTTATGGTCAGTATATTGAATGAAATCATGAGGATTAGATGAAAATGATGAAGGATATAATGAATTAAAGTCAACTCCAACGAAATGAGTCATAATGTTGGTGGTGTCCTCATTTGATACAGTTTTAGTTTCTGGATTATATGAAAGTTTATTAATGTGCGTGATTCCTTTAAGATTAACACGATGTTGAACATTTGATAGACCACCAGTAATTCCATTACGGAGAATGTGATAAGCTTCAACTGAATCTAAAGTCATTGGTAAATTATTTTTTAATGCATAATTTCTTAAATTGATTCTTAAACGTTGAACATCTTCATCTTTATTTGATTTTACGACATTGCAATAACAACACATTAACTGACAATTTTCTTTGGTATGTGGTTTTTCATTATCGATTCTATCCAATGTTGGTTTATTAGCATATGTAAACGCTTTACCACACATTTTGCATTTAGATGAAAGGATTAAATCGTGATAGTATTGATAGTCATCCATTGAAACATTGTTTTTGTATCTCTTTCTGCTTTTTCATCTTGTTTCTTATATGATTCAATTTTATATTTCCAATACTTTTTCGTTAATTCAAAACTTGATTCCACATTTTCTTCTTCTGGATATGTTTCGTTAGGATTGAAGTTCTTATATGCTAACGCGTAACGAATCATTGATGCATTCGATGATAAAGAAAGATTATGAAGCATGTCAATTTTATAAACAAATGTTTCTTCAATAATTTTATCAATTGGGTCAATCATAATTTCAACGTCTTTATTGCAATAATGAATAAAATATTCTAATCTATTCTCAAAATTTTTAGCATCATTGAGATATATTTGATAATCTGAATCGGATATAGTTTCTTGAGTTAATGCTGAATAAAATGAATCTTGAGTGAATGGTTCCTTTTATATAATTCTTTCGTAATTCCCCTGTGATGAATTGATAAGGGAAAAAGGATTTAACACGTGATTTATTGTTTCCGAAATCTTGAGTGAATTGGTCTAATGTTCCACCCGCTATATAATTTCTGATGTCAATAAATCTTAATTCATATGGACAGTTTGTTTTCTTTACATGATTTGCTTAAATTGAGAAGATGAACCCAGCATTGATTTTATTTTCCATTTTGCAGTGTTTAAATCACGAAGAATTAAATTTAAATCAAACTTTCCCGAATTAAAACCTATGATATTCACTTTATTAAATTCTTCATCTAAAAGCTCTTTCATTGCTTCCTTTTGTTTCTCATTTAATGTATGAGACAAAGTCCCCGCCGTTTTTTGCGGCTTCATTAATTCTTCATATTGTTCAATATTTGATTTAGCAACTAATGAACAGGTTGAAAATAAAAATCAATCCAATCAGAAATAAAAGAATCACTTGATGTTAAGCAAAAATTCCTCGTAAATGTTTTATCACGGTCTACGACCTCGCCGCTTTGCGGCTTTATTTTGACAGTTGATGATACCATAAATGGTTTTAAGTAAGCGTTCAAAGTTGCACATTCAGAAAGTTGAAGTTCTTCTTTAGTCTCTAATGTTTCGAAGTCAAAAGTAATATAATATCTTGTTGGTTTATAATATTCCTGCAAATTATGTGCTAATAGCCATTGATATATCTTCTGTTTCGTGATATGTGGTGCATATGGTTGTTGTGTGTTTTGCAATTGAACGTCTTGAATTAATCTTCCATTATTTTCTTTACATTTCTCACAATGTTTTAAAAATCTTCTTTGGTTTTTCCTTTCTGGATCATCACGGATAGAATATAACTTCTTCTTTGCAAAAGGGGCAAACTTTATATCCTGTGAGTGCTTCAACGTCTGTATTCTGTCAGCGTGAAGTTTTCCACATGGACTCTGTGTTAATAAAATATTTACTGTTTCAAATTCTGGATCTATCATTATTGATTCCACTAATGGAAAGTCTACCTTGTTAATGTCTACGTCTTCTGGTTGAGGGTCACAATAATAAAAATCAATATTAACGTTTAACATTCTTGCTAACCTCTCACTTTCTGATGAAATGTCAAACCCTTCATATGCATCTATTGCTTCATTTAAATAGCTTCTACGAGTTTTAGGATTAACACCATCAGGAATGTTATAGAAGCGTTTAAATAACCTTCTACCTTCTGCTCTAATTTGATTATCATTCATTTTAGCTGTTCCGTTTTTGTTCATTTATGTAAGAATAAAAAATTAAAAAATAAATAAAAATAAAGTTTATTTTTTTTAAAGTCCGAGACTCAGAGAGTCCAGGGCTAAAGTCCATAAAATGAATTAAGAACACATAAATTTTTATCATCTGCGACGTGACGAATACATTTTAATTTACTCAAGAATGCGTACCCTGATACATTAAATCTAATTCCTGTCTTATTTAATTTCACAACTTTGAAAAGGAATGTATGAATAGCTATAAAATGATGAGATGATGTTTTATGGGTTGCTTCCATTTTTTCTGAAATAAATGAATAAATATAATGTTATAAGTTTTCATATCTTTTATGTTCTTAATAACGAATGGTATAGACCTTTCAACTTCGTCTTCCTTCGGTGCTGTTCTTTCATATGAAACATTATTGGTATCTTCAATAATGAAACCACAATCGCATAAAATTTTATATGTACCAATTGTTTCTTTTGATATTTTATCTAACAAATCAAAAACTTTATCAACACCTGTACATTTATTTAAATAATAATTTGTGTAAATATCATGGTCTTCTTTCTTAATCGTATTTGTTGCATATGTTACATTTTTCAGTGCTTTTTTGAATTTTTCAGAATCAAGAGGAGGTGAAAGTAATATACAGGGGTATTCTTCATTATCAATAAATTGTAACTTATGTTTACGAATAAATTTAGTACCTTCTTCTGAAAGTGTTTCGTCTATTTCACCATCTAATAAATTTTGTGTTGATTCTGAGACATAATTTTTATATCTTTCTTCATGAGATTTCTGAACTGCTGATTCTGAAGCTGGGATATTCATTAAACCCTCTACTTCATTTTCATTATATTTTTCAACTTCTCTTAATTCCTTAATTTTTTCATCTATTTCATCTCTTATTTTTTCCAGTCTTTCAATTTCATCATATTCATCATCTTTAATCCGTTCTTCATAATATTCAGGGAAAACATCAGGTTCTTTAGGTTTTTCTTCTTCAGATGTGGGATATAAGAAATTTATAACATCATCTTTATTCATTTTTCCATCATAATCTAAATCATTTAAAAACTCCGCGAATTTTTGACAATTTCTTAAATAATATTTACTAACCTCATAACCCGTCTCCTCTAATATATCCTTTATTTCCTCATTTGTGAATCCTAATTTTTTAACGTCGTTAGTTTTGACACTCATTTTCTTACGAATTAAAAAAATAAATTATTCAAAAATGTAAGACATGAATTTTTAAAGTTTATTTTTAAAAAATTTTTTTATTTCATTATGGTAGTGAATCTTTCATTCATGAAAATAATTATTTCTAATTTCTTTTATTCTCTCGTACATACTAGATTTGAAGAATTCAGAACATTTCCCATAATCTCCTAAATGTTTTCTTATCCCTAACGTGTGCCAGTTATTATATGAAACTGAATAAACTTTATCTTTATCTTTACACCTTTCATCACTTCCAATATATTTATATCTCAGTTTTGATTTAGCATTTTCATATTCATTAACGTTTAATAATTCACAGTCTTCCTTTTTAAATATATGTTTAAGATATTCAGGATTTAATACTCTACGTTTATATGCTCCTAACTTAGTTCTAAATGTTTTTCTACAAAATTTAGGAATTCCATCCTCTTTAATGTCATCAATGATTTCCATTTCATTATTTTCAATTTCTTCTTCTCGTTTATGAGGTCTTTGATTATGACTCCATTGATTCCATGAAATTAAATATTCTTTATCATTATATTTATACCTCATTAGCTTATTTTGGCTTTCATATTCATTTAATAATTCACAATCTTCATTTTTAAATTGAAGTTTAACCCATTCAGGATTTAAACAATGTTTAATTAATCGCGGAATATCTGACATCATCTATATATAGCTTCTTTTATAAAAGATAAAAAAATAAATTATTTTAAAAATAACTTTAATTTTTTAATGGTTTATAAATAAATATATTTTAATGCATCGTCTATATATAGATGTAACAAAAAAAGCCACTAAACCCGTCATACCTACTACTAAGTCGGAATCCCTTCTCAAAAGTTCGTTTTTATCGAGTGCGAAATTATTTATAGTTATAAAGTAATGATTGCAAAATAAAATTTTTATCACACATCGGTGAATTATGAAATTTATTTTGAGGATGAACAGCGAAGGACTTGACTTTGTTCCTCATCACAAGATCGTTTTGCTTGGCAACTCAGGTTGTGGTAAGACATCAATCATTTACAGATACGTTTCAGATGCTTTTACTTTAGAAACGAAATCAACTGTCGGCGGAAATCACCAAAAAAAGAGGGTTCAGCTTGATTCAGGCCCGGTTGATCTTTTCATATGGGATACCGCAGGTCAGGAACGATTTCAAGCTTTAATGCCTCTTTATGCCAGATCATCTGATCTTGCAATTATCACCGCTTCAATTACTGATAAGCATTCATTCGATGCATTAGATCAATGGATCGAATTAGTTCAAAATGCATGCACGCCATGCCCACCTTTAGTATTAGCAGTAAATAAAATGGATGATTACGAACGCGCTACAATGACATCAGACGAAATTAACGATTTATTTAAAGATAAGTTCAGGGCTATTTTCTTCGTTTCTGCTTTATCAGGTGAAAATATCGATCAACTTTTCAATTTTGTTGCTTTAGAAGCTAATGTATTTTCAAAACAAAATGCACCGGCGCAACCAGAAGTTAATGTCGAAGAAAAACCAAAATCAGAACGCCATTGCTGCTAGATTTATATTTTATATAAAATCGCCAACTAATACGACAGTTTGTTTTCCAATAAATAATGATAACTACTATCATTCTTCAAGTTTTTCCGGAAATTAATGTTAAATTTCTATTTTTCATAATTATTTTTTTTATGTGGAATTTATTCATAAAACATCATATATAAAACATGAGGTAATAGCTTTTAGAAAGTTCTTCATAAATAATGCCATATTTTGCCAGAAATCTATTTAGAATATCATGGTATCATAGGTATTTCCCTTCATTTTACATCAATTTAGGCTTAGGGGCTAAATTAAATGATTATTTCCAGCTAATAATTCAAGAGTTACATAACTTGAAATGGTGTAATTATTTGAATCCTGTGAAGTTTTGTATTATTCATGGAACTTATCATTTATGATGCACATTACGTTATAATTGACTTATTGGTAAGATAATACTTTGTGGCACTGCAGAAAGAACGAACAATCAGATATGAAATTATGGAACTTCCATTAAATTTGACTTATCGTTATACCTAAAATCAGGTATATGTATTTAAGTTTATTTTAGGAATTTCAGAAGCAAATTCGATCATTAAATGAGAACTTGGATAATTTATAAACAATCAACCTTTTGTTTTATGGCTTAATATTATGAAAGCATGCTATATGTAAGGAAGTTATTAGCTCAGCTTAGCAATAAAATTTTTCTGATTTTTCAGAAAATGAATCGGCTTGAAATTTCTATAAAACAATCAATTTGACAATTGATTCCAATCATCATTAAGATGAAAATTATGTACTAATTTCCCACAAAAATTTGGCAAACCCAAATTTTAGCTAAAAGTGACAGGGGAAAAAAACGTTTAGTATTAAAAAAAAAAGACCGATGAGAGCTTCGTTCGAAATATAGAGGGAACTGAGAATGCGCAACCATTCTCAGGGAATATTGGATGCTATTCCCGTTCCCTCTGTATGGAAAATTGAGGTTTTCAAAGGGAGTTAAAATAATATCAAATTTATACTAATTTACTTCAAAATACAAAAGTATTTGACAGCTAAAATTAGTTACTTTAGCAAGCCTATCAATACCCTTTTACGATTATTGCTACTTTTTCGAAATAAAATAAATTTATTATCAAAAACCTTTTTTTTTCTTAGTAAAAATAAACGAAATTTTTTACCTTATGAACTTTTGATGGAAATATGCAAATTTAAAATAATAAAGAAAGCCGCGAGCGAATCGAGCGGCTTAGGTCTAAGATTTTGATTCAAATCTTTGCTTATATTCCTTAAATTCTTTATGAAACTCGCAACAGTTCCATAAAAAATTTTAAATTCTAAACTGTCGAAATTACCGATCGGTAATCACACCCTTCACGGGTGTGTCACTTTTACAGGCGTGTCACTTTTAGCTAAAATTACCCCTACTCCAAAAATTTTATGAATCTTCGATTAAAATTATTTCTAAATCAAAGAATTGGTATAAGCATTCAAAAACAGATAGTTTAAATGATAAATGAGGTGGAGAAATGGGTATTCACAATTTTGAGAAGAACCCGACGGTTAATGAAATCATCTTTTTGAATCTCATTTATTTACAAATAGACATTTAGCAGTATACATCTTGGGAAAAAAGTTTTGTGAATCTTCTCAAAAAGAATTGAACTGCTTTGTTCACTTTTATTAAGGATGCTCTCCCCTTATATGCTCAAATGCTCCAGCGGTGGCTCAGCCATCCGCAAGATGGATAACCTTGCTCAGCAACTCGCCAAGGAACATGGCGCCGACAAAATCCACAACTTTACAATTGGAAATCCACGTGTCCCACCGCCAAAGGCCTACGTCGATGCTCTTAAGGAAGTTGCTGCTGAAGAGATCCCACTTTGCCACGGATATTCCTCCACACAAGGTGATGAGAAGCCCCGTGAAGTTCTTGCCAACTTATTCTCAGAAATTCAAGGCATTGAGATCAACCCAGACTGCATTATTCTCTCCTCTGGCTGCGCTGGTGCCATCAACGTTGCCCTCAGAACAATTCTCAACGTTGGAGATGAAGTCATTCTTACAGCTCCATACTTCCTTGAATATCCATTCTACATAGAGAACTGGCATGCTGAAGTCAAGGTCCTCGACACAACATTCGAAGACAACTGGCAGATCGACCCAACAAAGCTCGAAGAAGTCATCACACCATTGACACGCGCTATCATCATCAACTCCCCACACAACCCAACAGGCACACTCCTTTCCCAGGAAACCGTCAACAAGATGTGCGAAGTTCTCGACCGCAAGTCAAAGGAATACGGCCGCCCAATCTACGTCATCTCCGATGATGTTTACTGCCGTGTCCTCGCTCCAGGAGCCAAGCACCACCAGATCTTCAACGTCTACCCATACTCCATCGTTGCTTATTCCCTTTCAAAGGATCTTTCCATCCCAGGTGAGCGTATTGGCTGCATCATTGTCAACCCTCTCCTCCAGAACTACAGGCTTCTCGTCCATTCCCTCGCTCACGCTAACGAAATCATGGGCTTCGTTCATGCAAACAGATTACACATGAGAATCATCCCAAAGGTCGTTCCAAACACATCAGATATCAACTTATACAACGAATCCCGCGATATGATCTGCAAGGCCTTGGATGAAGTCGGAATCAAATACGTCAAGCCACAGGGTGCATTCTACATCTTCCCGAAGATCCCAGATGGCATCGACGAGTGGGACTTCTGCGAATGCCTTGCAAAGAACTTCATCATCGTCGTTCCAGGCTCTGCATTCGCTAAGAAGGGCTTCTTCCGCCTTTCATTCTGCAAGCCACCAAAGGATATCGAAATCGCCATCCCAATCATCAAGAAGGCTGTCACAGAGGCCTTAAAGCTCAAGAAGGAGTAATTTCATTCTTCCTAGCTCTTTTGGCAGTTATTAAACTAGTCATATAGCATTTCGTAACGTCCATTTTTACTCCTTTGCGCTCTTGTCATCAAATATTACTAAATATTTTGGCGAATATAATTTTTCTTTTATTTTTCAATCATAATGAACCTACAAATACATTTTAATTCAATTTGTTAAGCAATCTGATCATAAATCATTATAAACTATTTACAATATTTTATATAAATAAAAAATATAAAGATATATATGAATTTTATTAGGTTCTAGCACATACATTAGAGCTGTGGAGTAATGTTTACCAAGCAATATGGTCTATTTCTCTATATTATTTCAATCATATAAAATTATTAATGTTTAAAGAGAACAATATCGTTATCATTAAATCCTCTATAGGTGAGTGAAATCAAATATCCTAAAGAAATCTATAGTTATCACATCATTAGTCAAAGGAAAAGTGATTTCATATTGAAAAAAAAAAGTAAACTTTATAAAAAAATGGCGTTCAGCTCAACTAGGAAAACTATACAGTTACTGATAGTCATTCTTTCATGTATTCTTTCAGTATTAGTTCGTCTATTTTCCAATGTTATCAATGAGCCAATTATTCACGAATTCGACCCTCATTTCAACTGGAGATGCTCACAATTTATCGATCAACATGGTTTTTATGAATTTTTAGGCTGGTACGATAACATTTCATGGTATCCACAGGGCCGTCCAGTTGGTGAAACATCATATCCAGGTCTTATGTACACATCCGTTTTATTCAAGAGAGTACTTGATTTCTTCCACATCAAAATCTCACTTCTTCAAGTCTGTGTCCACATGGGTCCAGTTTTCGCTACATTAACCTGCTTACTTTCTTTCCTTTTCGGCCAACTCATCTACGATTCATCTCTTGGCTGTGTCTTTTGCATCCTCTCATCATTCGTTACAGGTATCATCTCACGTTCCGTTGCAGGATCCTACGATTATGAGTGCATTGCTCTTTTCATCATGCTTTTAGCCCTTTTCTCATTTGCCTATGCTCTTAAGAACGCCTCCATTTTACTCTCAATATTATCCGCCTTCTCTTTCGCCTACATGGCCCTCACATGGGGTGGTTACGTTTTTGTCGCCAATGCCATTCCTCTTTTCACTGTCGGTCTTATTGCAATCGGTCGCTATTCATGGCGCTTGCACGTTACATACAGCATCTGGGCAGTTGTCAGCTTAATTTTAATTGTTCAGATCCCATTCATTCATGAGAAGCTTATTTCCAAACCAGAGCACTTTGCCATGATTGCCACACTCTTTGGCATCCAAGGCTGGGGCTTCTTTACATATATTAACACCTCATTTTCAAAGAAAACATTTACAACGATTTCAACCTTCGTTATCTGTTCCGTACCATTATTATTCTTCGTCATTACAATTCTCCTTTCTACAGGCCTTGTCGGCGACTTTTCCGGCCGTCTATTACTTATGTTCGATCCAAGTTACGCTGCAAAGAACATTCCTATTATTGCCTCAGTTGCCGAGCACCAGACATCATCATGGTCCGCTTATTTCATGGAATGCGCCTTCTTTATGGGCATATTCCCAGTTGGCTGCTTCTTCCTCATCAAAGACCAGATTAAGATCAAGAATTCCATTCTCACCGAAGCCTCCATGCTTCTCTTAATCTACGGCCTCTCAACTCTCTATTTCGGAGGCATCATGATTCGTTTGGTCCTTGTTTTCTCTCCAGCCTGCGTTTACATTGCCGGCATTGCCATCCACAAGATCTCCAAGGCCGCATTCCGTGCCAAACACGGTCCGAAATGGGCAGCCATTTCATCCTTATTCTTTATCTGCGTTTTCTCTTTGTATCACTCTGTCTGGTTTGCCTGCTACTCGTATTCCGGCGACCACATCCACTTCTGGGTGAATACTCCTCGCGGACAGGAATCATCAGATGATTACAGAGAAGGATACAGATGGTTGTGGGAGAATACACACAGAGATGACAAAGTAATGAGTTGGTGGGATTATGGCTATCAGATCACTTCAATGGGTGGTCGCGGCTGTATGGCTGATGGTAACACTAACAACTTCACTCACATCGGTATCATTGGCATGACAATGGGATCTCCTGAAGAAGTATCATGGAGATTGGCGAGAATGATGAACATGAAGTACTTGTTGGTCATTTTCGGAGGTGCTTCTGGATACGATGGTGATGATATCAACAAGTTCATGTGGATGCCAAAGATCGCTAACCAGACATTCCACAACATCTCTGGTTCAATGTTCCAGAAGAAGGAAGGATACCCAATTGTTGGCCAGATACAGACAGATAATATGACTCACTCAATGATGTTTAAGATGTGCTACTACAACTTCAAGGATTATCAGATTCACCCAACTGTTCAGAAGGGATATGATATCGCAAGAAGAACTCAGATATCAAGAGGACTTGATACACTCAAGTTCAATTTGTTCGAGGAAGCATTCTCTACAAAGAACTGGATCGTCAGAATTTATAAGGTACTCGATGATCCACAATGGAATAGGGTCTATTAATAAAACAAATAAAAAAACTCTGCATATTTTCTAATTATATATAATGTGTTTTTAATTATATCGAATTATAGGGCCCATTATACATCCTTGTTGATCAATGGATTTGGTGTATTTGATAAATCTTTTCAGTGCTGATATCATTTCGGATTTGTTCATTTGATCATCTATAGCAATGTCAGTATTTTGAACCATTATAGATCACAATCTAGAGAAAATGCATTCATTTGAACTAATATTGATCAATATATCAATGAAAACAGTTTATATGAGAAAACTGATGAAATGCTTTTTTCTCATGAGGTTTCATTGTTAATATCATTCCGAATTAGTTTATTTGATAATCTAGAGTGATGCCAGTATTTAGAACCATTATATATCAATTGTTCAGTTGCGAAGGGGCGGTGAATTGCTTGTTCTTATGTTGAACTCATTACATCAAATCATTTCATTATTGATTAGTATTTGTTTATATTTCTCAGAGACATTTTAATAGAGAACTAACATATGTTTCATCTTTGAACTTCATATATTTAATCAGTTTTAGAAAATGCAATATCAAATTAAGACAAGCATTAAGATTTAATCAAATCACCATTATAACAGATAAATATGAAAATGGTTTAGAATGTGTATAAATTAATGTGTGGATATCTTTGAAATAATATGTATTTCATCTATTTGTGAGCTATCATTGGTAAAATATCTCTAAAGTTGTTTTTGCTCAAATCTGACAAATAAAAATTTTGACATCGTAAATTAATTTTGATGAAAAATTTTGAATAAAAAATCAAGAATTATATTGATTTTAGAGTCTGTATTAATATCTCTTGATTATTTATACTTGAATGGTCGCTGCATTTCAGTTTTACACACGTTTACAAAATCGATGAAAGGTCAATCAATAGCTTATAACATGCCTTCAATATTCGTAACATCTCCGAAATACTCGAAAAAACGTCCAACAATCCAAAACAAACCACTATTTTACGATCCTAAATCACGGTCAGGAAATATTTGGAAGGAAGTTCTTGATAGAAAAGTGAGGGAAGCCAACATTTCACTTTCCTTTTCCGATAGCGATGATTCTGACTCGGACTTTTCTATGGATTATTCACTTTCTTCAGAGTCAGATTTTGATTTTTCACCAAAACGCAATCTAAAGAATCCAAATCCTCCATTTTCTTCTTTATTCTATGCTCCAGGCTCTGATTCTTCAACATTTTCTACCGAAATGAGTGATGACACTTATGATGAAGTTTCTGATGATTCAGATTCGTTTTCTGAACCTCCAAAGCCAAAATTCAACACTACTCCAACAACTTTATTCTTTTTCAATCAACCTGACTTCACAACAGACTCTTTTTCCGGTGAATCTAATTTTTCTATGTCAACATCAATAACTACTGAAACAGAAACATCAGAACAGCATGCAACAGATGATGACAAATCTGGTTCTGATCCACAAGTCACAGAAATTATTGTTCCTTCTTCGATAAAAACAAGATCAGTTCGTTTTACAAAAAAAGAGGAAAATGACGATTCAGAATTGATACAAATACCGAATATTGAGGATGACTCTCATTTTGAGACGCCAAAAGAAATAGAAATTCCCAAAACTCAGAGTACTATTAACATGAGCTCTGAAACAGAGTCTGATGACTCAATGATAGAGAAGATATGCTCAAGAATTAAGAGCCCTGAATGGTCGGCCAAATTAGAAAAAGCTATCCGCAAAAAATAAGAAATTTATCTCTTTTTTTTACTTTTATGTTTCTTTATTCATTATAAATACCTTATTCTTTCTTTTAACTATATAATCTTTTTCGAAAACTGTCTATAACTTAAGTTAAAAGAAATAATTCTTTTCATTTAAAGAATTAGCTTTTGTTTCAATACAAAATCAATATCCTTACATTCTCATTGATTATATACTACTGTGTTCTCTATTTAGAGGTCATTTTTTTGGATGGATAAATTCTTACTTTCATTTCCTTTTTCCAAGATTGATTTGAATTCACCATCGTTGCCAATTATAGATGTTTTAATCATTGATGTTCAGTTTTTGCAACAAAATCAACAAAATTCCGATAATAAACAACTTTATAATTTAATTCAAGAAATTATTGAACAAATTCAACCACAACACGAAATATATTTACTAACAAAAAGACCTTTACCTGTTAATGATGATTCTCAAGAAAATTCACAGAATTTCATTGACTTTCTTCGAAATGATGTAAAATCAATACGAAATTCTCATTGTAGAATACAATTTATAGAATTTGACGATAATATTGAGCTCAAATCCTCATTAAAATTTTTATATAATTCGAATTTCCAATATAATTACAATACTATCATTGTTTCAAACGCCGAAATAGTCTTACCTCTGGTATTATCTGATAAATGGAGCAGGATTCTTCTATTAAATACAATAGAAGTCACAAATTACTTTAATTTTATCAATTACAAATTTTCTTGCTATAACATTGATATAATTATAAGATTTATCATCAAATATTTGAAAATTCCAACTGATAAGGCAATTAGAGATTTAATTGGAATATTTGCTTTATCAAAGCTTAATATTGATATATTTACTGTCTTAAACGTATACAATCAATCATATAAACAACGCCAGCTTGTATCTGAAGCATTTTCTTTCAATAAAAATCAATTAATAAATATTGTTGAAAAATTCGGAAATATTAAAGGAAAATCAGAAGATTTATCAGCAACAAAGTGCAAAACTATTGTATCAGCGCTAGAATCTTATCTTAAATGTTATTTATTGGGAAGAAATGAAAAAGATGCGTTCAATTCTTTTGAAGGAGTTAATATTGCCATTTTAACAAACTACATTAGAAGAGATTATAGTCCTGATAACAATTTACAATCAAATGAATCAATTTTCACACCAAAATTAGAATTATTACAAGAATCTAGTTATATCTCTTCACAACAAGGTTCTCATTACTTTCCAAGTACTGATGATGGTGTTCAATATGTTGTTATTCCAAAAGACAAAGTTTTTGTCATTGAAATTTTAGAAAATTCAATTTCTCAGCAAAAAAGTGAACTTTATATTGGACATCCTGTATTTGTGAATTGGCCCTCATTATATCCAGCACTAGTAAGTGATGTACAAACTGATTCTTCATTTAATCATCCTTATTTTAAGCAGAAAGAACAAGATAAAGTAGTAAGTGTTAGACCACTTGTATCAATCAATTCTTCTAATACAGAATTCGCATTTTCTGATATAGAAATCAAATTTCCTTTGTCAAATTGTTTTAATTTGAAACAATTTCCTGAAGCATTAGAAAGAACAGAGAAAAATCAAGCAATATTAGAAGAAAGGCCATATTTTATTACTAAAGATGGAAGATTTGGATATATAAAGAAAGAAAATGAAAAATTATTATATTTCATATCGAAAGAGAAGGTTCCTGAGTTTCAATCAATGCCAAATGAAACAGAAAACGTTTTCAAATGCTCACAAGTACAAAATTTCCAAAAAATTCAAAGTATCTATGGAAAATCTTTTGACAAAGATAAAATAACAGTTAAACAAATCATGAGATCACTTCCAGATAAGATAGAGTTTGATAATACAGAATTCTGCGTTAAATTTAACGAAAAAATAATTTGGAAGTTAGATACAAAATATATTAACTCTATTCAAGAAGAAATAGCAAGTGGATCGTATGATATCCTTCTAAAGTTTGATCAAGAAGAGTTTAAAGATGATTTTCCATTAGAATCTAAAATTATTCACAAAATTCCGAAACCAGGGGATAGCATTGTATTATCATTATATGATGGTGATTATAGATTTGGAAAAGTTATCCAAACCATTCCTTGGATTGATAAAGCAATAATTCTTCCAATTTTTAGTTTAAGCAGCGAAGAACAAGTAGCAAGAATACCCGTTCTTGTTCCATATGGCAGTATTTTTTATCTTTTCTAATTGATAATTTATTGTTTTTGTTTCTTTTTTGTAAATTTTTTCCAATAGTTTGATATAGATATCATATCTTTTAACTGTGCTTGTATATTTTTTGAATGATTTATTTTATGTTAATATATAAGTCATGATTAGTTATGTCAAAGGATATATTTTTTGGAATTTTTTTTTATTTATTATATATTTTTACAAATTAAGTTTTTTTATATATATTTTTGTTATTTCTATTATTATAATTTTTAAATGATTGATTTTGTTTTTCATATATAATGGCAATTTTTTGAAATCAATGTGCGGGTGAGTAGTCTAGTGGTATGATTCCTGTTTTGGGTACAGGAGGTCCCGGGTTCAATTCCCGGCTCGCCCCATTTTTTCTTTTTTCTTTTTCTTTTTTTCCTTTTCTTTCTCTTTCGAAAAATTTTTCTTTTGCTCACTCTCTCTATATCATTCTTTCATCTATTTATCGTCATTTATGACTATTGAAAGGATTTAGATCAACATGCATTTAAAAAAATTGTCTATATTTCTTTTGTCTGAGTTTCTTCTTGATCTAACATCTTACACAATAGGATTTTCAAATAAACATGCATCCAAACAATACATGCGAATAAGATCGTTTTAAGATCATCATGCACAACTTTTCAATCTAAACAATATATTCATGATTTCATTTTTCGTTCAGATCAGATACATTACATTCTTCATGCGGTTCTGTTTTATCAAAAATACTGCGGTGTAATGTCAATCAACACTCCGATCAAGTTCATTCAATTTTAAATTCAAACGCGTGATCGGAATAATTGATTCAAAAATTTTATTTTCAGAATGACATCAAAGCGTGAGCATCCACCTGCCAAGTCTTCGAAATGGGTGACCTCTTAGTCCGTACGATATCAGCAGTAGTCATTATTGGAACAGAGGTTCTTCTCATGTGCATTGGAAAATATCCTTTATTTGCCGAGCTCTTAATCATTGAATTCTTAGGATTTAGAGAGTTATTACACCTTAGTATTGAGCCAGAAAAAGAGAAGCCAATTGGCTTTAGAATCAAAGTTTTCCCATATATCCTTCTCTTTGCAATGACATACCTTATTTCAGGAAAGACAATTCTTCACTATTTCATAGCTGATACTTTAATTGCCAGATTTCACTATATTGCAGTGTTCTTGATTGTAATGTTAGCATTATTCTTATTCGTCACAGGACTGACACCAGAAAACGACCAATATGCATACAAGAGATTCACATATGCATTCTGTGGTGCTTTTATTATTGGAATTCCATGCAATCTCTATACAAAGTTTGCAGACACATCTCTATTTTGGTTCTCCATTCCAATCTTCTGCGTAGTTGCAAATGATACAGCAGCATATTTCTGCGGCCGTTTATTTGGCCGTCATCAACTTATCAAATTATCTCCAAATAAGACAGTCGAAGGTTTTGTTGGTGCACTTATCCTTACACCTCTAGTATTCATTGGAGCAACATATATCGCAGCGCAATTTCCATACATTTACTGCAGACATTCAAAGCCATTTGATTTCAATGTTCAATGTGTTACACCAAAAGAGTTTGTTCCAACAACTTACGAGATATTTGATAAGAAGTTCACAATATTACCAGCTTATATTCATGCAACTGTTATTGCTCTATTTGCAAGCTTAGTTTCTCCATTTGGAGGATTCTTTGCTTCTGGATTCAAGCGATCACTCGGTATCAAGGACTTCTCTCACTTAATTCCAGGCCATGGAGGAATATTAGATAGAGTTGATTGCCAACTTGTGAATTGCATCTTTGCTTATTTGTATTATATTACTTTTGTACAATAAAACTATCTTTATCTTCTTTTTTTACATCTTCTCTCTTTTTTTATCCAAATTAATCTTAATTTCAAAATTTATTAATGAATTACGTAAGAAGTTGAGATAATACATATAATATAGCCGCATATATTACGTTTCTCCTTTACAAGTTCATAATAATTCAGTGATGAATGAGTATTCAATCAAAAATTTCTCTGACATTGAGGTTCCAGACGAATTCAAGTTGATTATCGAATTTGAAAGGATGATCTGGGATGATGACAACTGGAATGAACAAGAAATTAACAAATTTATTGATGAAAATTTAAACAAAAATGGAATAACAATAGAATATATAGAAAAAGTTTTCACCAAAGCTGCAGAAAAGAGACCTTTGCGTAAAACTGCTCTAGCTGACACATTATCAAAGATTGAAATTTCTCACAATAGAATTTATAGTCTTCATTCTCCAGAATTTGCCTGCTTTCTCAGAAATCGTGGGGTTTCAATTGATTGCGATTATTATAAAATTGAAGAATCAAAATTGATCGAAATTTATCCAAAAGATTCACTTGCATGGTTAATTGCATGGGGATCATTTGAAGATTTCAAAACTAAATGCTTGGCAATTAATTCAGATTTCACACAAAGATATTATGAATATCATGAATATATTGTTTAGATTGAAAAGTTGTGCATGATGATCTTAAAACGATCTTATTCGCATGTATTGTTTGGATGCATGTTTATTTGAAAATCCTATTGTGTAAGATGTTAGATCAAGAAGAAACTCAGACAAAAGAAATATAGACAATTTTTTTAAATGCATGTTGATCTAAATCCTTTCAATAGTCATAAATGACGATAAATAGATGAAAGAATGATATAGAGAGAGTGAGCAAAAGAAAAATTTTTCGAAAGAGAAAGAAAAGGAAAAAAGAAAAAGAAAAAAGAAAAAATGGGGCGAGCCGGGAATTGAACCCGGGACCTCCTGTACCCAAAACAGGAATCATACCACTAGACTACTCACCCGCACATTGATTTCAAAAAATTGCCATTATATATGAAAAACAAAATCAATCATTTAAAAATTATAATAATAGAAATAACAAAAATATATATAAAAAAACTTAATTTGTAAAAATATATAATAAATAAAAAAAAATTCCAAAAAATATATCCTTTGACATAACTAATCATGACTTATATATTAACATAAAATAAATCATTCAAAAAATATACAAGCACAGTTAAAAGATATGATATCTATATCAAACTATTGGAAAAATTTACAAAAAAGAAACAAAAACAATAAATTATCAATTAGAAAAGATAAAAAATACTGCCATATGGAACAGATGATAGCTTTAGATAATGAAATAATATACAATATATGACTCAATCACAACTGAGAATGCCAGATATAACTAAACAGAGCTTTACATTAATGAGCATATTAATATCTTATTGAGTCTTTGAAAATGGTAGTATGTCTGTTCTTTGAGGTTGATAAAAAGACTATTTAAAATTTCAATGGAGTGTAAATGAAATATACTATCTCAAAACTCTAAATTATAATGCTATATACCAGTAGATTGTTTATGTCTCTCTCATCAATGATTTATCAATCGATATTCCTCTTCTATGATCGCATAAAATCTTTCTAAAATGTATTATAAAAGTGACAAAATTAATTAAAATCCGTTGGTATGAATAACGAAGGATTGCCGCCACCGCGGCCTTTTATTACAATAGAAAATTTCAATATGATGAACCAGGAATGCAATATTAATGAACCTGCATCTTTAGAAGCAATGCGTCGCCTTGGAATCTCATTAAATGAGCTTAACGCTCGAAATCCCCAGACATTTGCAAAAGCAGGCTGTGACGATACAGTTACACAGTTCTTTTACAAGAAGTTTGAAGAAAACCGAAAAAGTTTAATTGATCAAATCAAGCAAAAGCGTCAAGAAGTACTAAATGAAAAATCTGATAACCGAGTTGTAAGTGCTGATGTACGAAGAGATAAAATTTTTATCGAAAAAGATAAAATGCTTATTCAACAGCAAGAACAAAAAATAACATTCTCAAGCACATGTTTATGAAAACGTCTACGTGAAATACATTCTCAAACTCTTGTTGAGCAAATGATGCAAAAAACTTTATTCAAGAACCGCTGAAATTGCTCGGCCAACAAGCAGAAAAAATACGAACTGCTCAGATCAATAAGGGAATGAATTTCGAGTTCAAATCACGTGAAAAGGTATTTACACCACCAGAATATCGTCCTTCAGAGCCAGATCCTGCCGAGCTTCGAAGAAATCAAATTCGTCAAGAAATTGCAAAACAGAGACACGATCAATGGGTAAGAAAAAGAACGTCAAATACAATCAGCAAGGCAGCGATCGCAGCAACTTCTTGATGAAAGATTAATACGATGAAACAAAGTATTGAGAAGAGCGAGAAACAGATTCCAAAACTGGCAAAAGCAAGCTCAGACAGCAAGGCTTTCAAGAGTTCCTCCACAAATCCGATCCTACGTAGAAATAATGAAACATTAAAATCCAGAGAAGAAGATCGTAGAAATGCTCTTCTTGAAACAATAAATCGCAAAGAAAATCAATTTAGAAGAACAGAGCTAAGATTGCTGAAGGAGTTCAGACGAAATACCGAGAAATTGCTAAAAACGAACAAGAAAAACTAAACAGAGTCAAAATTTCAAGGGACGCAATCGAAGCAGAGAACCAACAGAAGAGGGAAAAGTTCTTGCAGGAATCAGAGCAAAAGGATATGCGTGCAGAACAAGCAAGATCAAAAGACATGCTCGCAGTTGCTAAACAGATTGTTGATAGAGATGAGAAAATTACTCAAGCAAGACGTAGAAAACTTGCTCAAGACTATGAATTCCAGAGGTCTAAGATGCTGTCTGAAGAAGACCAGAAAGCAAGACTTGAGACGCAAAGAGAGATGGCTAGAGTTAATCAAATGAGAACTGGAGCTCAGATAAGAGTCCAACAGAGAATGGAAAGACTTAAGATAGAATTGGCAAGACTTAGAACTCTTGATGATAAAAAGACTTTGCGGAATATAAGAACCATATTAGAAGTCGAAGAAAACGAAATGCAGGAAATGATTTCTGCAGTTCATCAAACATAATTTATTATTTTTGTATGTATTTGTTTGATAAAATGAAATTATTTAATATTATTTTCTTTCAAATTAAACAATTATTTCATTCTCTCTTTAAAAAATTGGTATACTATATGTTTTAAGCATATACATTCTTGGATTGTTTTGTTTAGGCATATAAATTTTAAAATATTAGATGTTTTTCCCCTATTTTCATGCGAACACAGTTTACAAATGCAACACTTAACAGACAAATATGAATTTAATCTTTTGTGAATAAAAACATAAATGATTTTTTAAAAATCAAATATATCAAATATTTTTTTGCAATTTAAGCTAAATAATTGATAGTATGGATTTATATAGCTAGTATAACTGAATGTACTATATCTTTTCTTTCAGTTCCTGAGAATAAATTAAAAATCAGTTTGATTTATTATAAATATCATACAAACAATTGTTTAGACATCTAAACAAACAATACTATTACAAACAAAATAATATTGAAGCTAACTATATATAAACAACCGGTTCATATTATATTCATTATTAAATTAATGAAATATGAAGATTAAGCAGTCTGATGAGGAACTTCTGGATCAGGGATTGACTGGATAGAGTTGTATGTGTCAGAATCCGAGTGAGCTTCGTGGCCCTGAATTGCATCTCCGTCCTTTGTCTTGTAAATAGATAAGAACGGACCAAGAACGAAAGGAATGGCAAGAAGAACTTGGGCGATGTTCTGCCATATGTAAGAAGTGAAGAGAAGTTAGAGATTGTTTCTCTTCGAGAAATATATAATTGTGGAAATAAGAGGAAGTGGAGTAATCGATGTGATTACAGAGGAGATTGTTGCACGGAGTGGATAATCTGTAGATTCAAGATATGTCAAAAAAGTTGAGGAAATTGGCCATGTGCAAAGTGTTAAGTAGCCAATTGGGAAGAGCTGTTGTGCCCAGTAGAGGTATCTTTCATCAGTAGACCAGAACGAGGCAATCTTCTTTGGAATTGCTGAAACAATTGCAGAATAAATCATTGATGGAACAACAGAAATCCAAAGAGTATGGCCAGCAAGTTTGTGGATACGGCGATATTGGCGTTTGCCGTAAGCATATGATGCTGATGGGAGGAATGAAGCATCAAAAGCATAAGTAATTGAAATGCCGAGTTCGTAAAGTCTGTTAAATGTATCAAGTAAGGCTAAAACTGGTGTAACTTCATTGATTGCAGCGGCTGTTAAGGTAATGTATTTCTGCATAACAAAACCTGGAATAGCGCTTGAGAGATAGAGCATGAAAGCACCACCGCCAACTTTGAGAGCATCGTATGAATGTGGAGATGGCTTGTTGAAGAACAACTGGAAATGGAATTTCAATGAGAACTTTCCTGAAAAGATGTAGATGAAAATGATTGTTGCTACAATTGTTTGGGCGATAACTGTGGCAAGAGATGCACCCCAAACACCCATCTTGAAGTAAACAAGGAAAAGTGGATCAAAAACAAACATAATCATGCAAAGGGATAAGATCTGGAACATTCCAGCAAGCCATGATCTGCCTTCACCTTGGAGAATGCCTGTACCAAGTAAGAAAATGATTTGGATAAAAGAGAAACCAAGAAGTGGAATTTCATATTTGAAAGCTTCACGGGCAACGTCATCGGAACCAGAGATCCATTTTGTAACCATTGGAACGAATGGAAGAAGAGTTCCTGCAATAATGAGACCGAAAATGAAAGCAAATCTAAATAAGTCAACAACTACTTGAGATGCTTCATTCTTGAGATCTTTTCCGAAAAGAAATGCAACTCTGCTGCTGATGGAGATGAGCATGAATTCACCGCATGAAAAAATGAGCTCATCAAAGAGATAGATTGATGATGTTACATTGAGACCGAAATTTCCATGTGTCTTGGAAATCCAAAGTGAGTCTACAATACCATAAATTGATTGTGGAGAGGTTATCGATTTTGTAATTTAATCGTCGTCGTTATCGATTTTGTAATTTAATTGTTATCGTCTTTTTCTAAACGTGCATTTTTACATTAAAAGCAATGCAACTCCAAAATTAATTGGTATTTAGACTTTAATTAGGTGCAGACAAACGAAATGCAGTCCAAATATTTTGGTGATATATGAATTACATAAATTTAGGGAAATTGAAATTATATCTTTTTAAATTTTTAGGAAAACAGATTTATAGAATTGTTTAAGTCATCAAAATAATGCAGACTTAGGTCAAATTTTCCAAATTTAATCATTTGCAAGACTTTCAAGCGACTTCAAAATGTCGAAATATAAGTCCAAAAATAAAATTACGATTACAGTCTATCCTCAATTATTATCACGCTAATTATTGAGTGACCCATGCGTTCGTATGTATGTAATACCTTTTAAAAAGGAGATGAGAGAGATAAACTACATTTACAATTTAAATCTGATGTATTTACTTGTTACATTTACAAATGTAAATGTTTCTCGTAATGTTTACATTTTGTAAGTATAACGAATAAAAATGACGCACTTTTTTTACAAAGTCAAATTATGCGATACAACTTTACTTGTTACATTTACAAATGTAAATGTTTCTCGTAATGTTTACATTTTGTAAGTATAACGAATAAAAATGACGCACTTTTTTTACAAAGTCAAATTATGCGATACAACTTTACTTGTTACATTTACAAATGTAAATGTTTCTCGTAATGTTTACATTTTGTAAGTATAACGAATAAAAATGACGCACTTTTTTTACAAAGTCAAATTATGCGATACAACTTTACTTGTTACATTTACAAATGTAAATGTTTCTCGTAATGTTTACATTTTGTAAGTATAACGAATAAAAATGACGCACTTTTTTTACAAAGTCAAATTATTGTTCGATTTTTGCAGCTTGTAAACGATTAATTGTATAAAGCAATTGATATTAGCACGACATAACTGAATAATTCTAATATTGAAATCAAAAGCCCTTAAAATATCATGATATTTTAATTTCATAACAAATCTAGGAGACTATTTGATGAAAACATATCCGATGTGGGTTTTGTTGTATTATATAACTTGTTATTGACTTCTTAGCTTTCCAAATTTTTTTCGATAATGAGAAAACGAATGAAAAATCAACATTTGGTCCATTTAAAATTTGATTTTTTTCATTTTTTTTACTTTTTGAATTTCAATTTATATTTTCCTCAAGAAATACTTTAGATTTTAAGAAACTAAATCATATAATCTACTAAGAAAATATATTAAATCCTATAATACTCAAAGTTTTGTGATAAATCCGATCTTTTTTATTTTACTTTTATTATGTTTTTGCAAACTTAAGGTCCTCACTAGGTAAAACATAATACTCTTTGAAGTTAAGTATTTTCACAAAGAGAGGACCAACAATATCAAAAATTGAATAAAGATTTGTATTATTTTATTTATTTTTAAGAACATGTTTAAGAACCCTCATTATCTCCACGAATATTGCATATTTTTCTATTCTAAGACCACCAAAATTACGTTTTAATATAGAAAATAACATATTTATGTGATGCTAAAGTCGAAGTCCTTAAAAATTAGTGTTAAACATCCATTTATTACAAAATTGAAGAAATATGTGTAAAATATAACACATAATTTAGTTATTTGACTCAATTATTAGTTATGCAATATCAGTTGTGTTTATATCTGCGTTATATCACGAGATGCATTGAATTGTCATAATTAGATCACCGTAAATCTTATCAATTTTTGATACACTTCCGGTGAAAAATTTAGCCTTGACAATAGGATGAAATATATTGTAAAAAAATAAATTTTAGATTTTGAAGTTTATCATTTCGAATAATGAAATATAAACAATACAAATTTTCTGTCGTTTCGAGATTCATAAATGATCGGAATCTTCCAGCTCCGACTGAAATAGAACTTTCGGAAGCTAATTTTCAAGACGAATCTTCTTTATTAAGATTTATTTTGGATATCCCTAAGGATTTAAGCTTTTCCATTGACTCATATTCAATGAATCTTTTGATACATTTCATTATCGAGCAATCTACACAAAATGAAACAATATTAAAATTCACAATTCAAAATATCACTTCTTCGAATATCTTTCAAATAGATTTGATACTACTGGAAAATTTATTCGAATATTTATCGCATTATATTAACAAGATTTTTTTTCATTTTTTTCATTAAAATTAATTCATTTTAAAGCTTTAGATAACATACAATACCTTTATTTATCAACATTTTCCGATCAATATGATGAGATATTACGTTTCATAAGCAGCAGTGACAATTCTCTCTATATCATCGATACATTTATTGCTTTGATTAAAAACAATATTCTTGACGTTGAATTCTTCCAAAACGCAGTTTTACTCAAGAAAGAAATTTTTTCTAGTATTATTGAGTACGAAAATCAATATTCAACTTATGCAATTGCAAATTTCTTTACAAAATTATTAAAATATTACCCAGGATATGCAACTGCTCTTCCATGTTCGGATATACTAATATCAAATTATTTCAACTTTTTTAATGACGTGAATTCAATTATAAATAACGAAGATTTTGTTTATCTTCTCAAATTTATAGTTTTATTTTATAAAGCAGTCGATATAACATCTGAGATGGCTTTAGAATTCATAAAAACACTTGAAATTCTGCGAAGTCTTTCTCCTCACTATTCATTTACAGAGTATGTAGTTCAGGGGTATTATTGTGTACTTCCTCTTATACCCATGCAAATTTAATCTACCGATTTTTTAAATTCACATGAATTTTTAATTAATTATGCAATTGAGAATTCAAATCTTCACAAATATTTGAAATTATATTCCAGATGTTTCCGCAGATTTGATAGCGATGAAATATTCAAAAATGTTTTTCATATCTTAAACCTTGTAGAAGTTACAACAGAATATTTATCAGAAAATCAGGATCTTTCTGAGAAACAGATCTTTATTTGCAACGATATCCTAACGAGGGTTAATTTAATTTAATTTTTATTTTTTATTTCAAGTTTGAGTAAACTTTCAAGATAATCTATATAAGCCTTTTGATGTTCTTCATCTAGATTCTTGTTTAATATGTGATGAATTTGATTTTTTTTTGAAAATTCAAGATAAAATTCTTTTTTATCTTGATCAACAACATGAACAATTCGAGTACAGCGTAACATTTCATCAATATTTTCTGTTTTCTTCGTTTCTAGATATTTTTCAAATATTTCTTGCGGAATCTCATTTTGATATACCCATTTATTTTTTTCCGGATGCTGATCTTTGTACTTAACGAAATATTGCTTGACTATTCGCTCAGAAACAACATATTCGATCTCTTTTCTCTTTCTCATTGAATATTTGTGACACTTTTGAATTCAATCAAATCAAAAATATTTGAAATTGCTAGAATTTTTTTCTTTCTCATGAATATTTGAAATGACTCAAAAGGAAAACTCGTTCGATTCAATTCAATTTTGAATCAGAATTTTTTAAGGACCAATAAATCAAATTATGTTAAGAAAATCTTTTTTTAACTCAGAGTATCAAAAGTACGTTAAACCTTCAATTTTATCTCATGTCGGAAAGCGAACCGACAATAGTGGAAGAGAATCAAACTATATCAGTATCCATCCAAGCTATTGTTGATGAAGAAAAAGGAGATGGAGCTGATATGCTGATTTAATTCAAAATGAATTGAATTCCGTAAAAAATTGAAATATAGAATGGAAATACCTGAAAATTCCCCAATTCCAATTCTCAAGGAAAGATATAGCAAATTAAAATTTACAGATCCTACAGAAGCTGCTATATTTATTGCAAAAGATTCATATAATTCTTTTTATCCATTAAATTTTGAGCAAGGAAAAAAGTTTCGTTGTCCTAACTGCCAATTTTGCATGGAGCTTGTAAAGACTCATGAAAATGGTCAACTTTTCTTCATTCCAGTAATTAAACACGAGCATAGAGCAAAGCAATGCAAGCCGAGTAACAATATACCAAAAATTCTTAAGTTGCAAGCAGGAAAAAAAGTCTATGAATTAGCAAATTCTGATAATGTTCCTCAATGCAAAGAAATTTTTGCAAAAGAATTGAATATTCCCAATGCAACTTATACGATGTTCCATAATATAGTAAATAAACTTAAAGGAACCACAAAGGGGATAGAATTCAATCTTACAATTATTTCTCAACAATTTTTTCAATCATAAACAAAATCGAACAAGGATTCTGCGAAATGATTTTAGTTAAAGAAGTTAACAATGAAATTGAATTGCATACATTTAAGAAAGGTGATGAATTACCTGAAAATTCAAAAGACTTTCAAATTTATTCATTTATTGTAATTCCTCCAATAACTCATTTTTACATGCAAACACAAGCTTTTTGCGGAATAATTCAAATTGATGGAACGTTTTTATTTTGTATTAAAAAAGGAAACTTACTCATTATTGGTACACCTGCACCAAATAATAGACTTATCCCTATTGCATTTGCATGGTCTGTTAGTGAAAATACGATAACAATTAAGGATATGCTCACTAAATTGAAATCTTTTATTCCACCAAGCAGATTCAAGAATATTTATTCCGATCAAGGTCCGGCAATTATAGCTGCTGTTAGAGAATCAGGCTTTTCTTGCGATCATAAATTTTGCTTACGTCATTTTGCAACAAAAAGGGAATACATCAATGTCTATTCCGAAATTGTTGAAGTCGCTTACGCAGACCATCCTCAAAAACGAATTGACTTGATTAAAAAGTTAGAAACTCGTTTACAAGAGGAATATCCAAACCGCGAAAATAATCAGGATCTCTTTAAGTACTT